AGGCCCCACAGCACCAAGGATCGCCAGGGGTGTGGGGTGACCCCCAGATGTGCTGGGGAGGCCAGTGGGGGTTCAGGGGTCACGGCTCAAGGGGTGACTCGGTGCCCCCCAAAGCCAGTGAGGGGGTGCAAGGCCTTGGGGATGAAACCACCCCTCTACCCCGGGTGCCATCGGCGTTTTTGGGGTCTGGGACATTGGCACAGCTCCCTGGTGTGGAGCAGGGGCCCAGCAGGCACCCCCAAATCCTGAGGGGGKCAGAGCCCCACCCCTGTGAGAGCCAGAGCAGCAGGATGGACTGAAACAGGGCTTTGAGCCTAAAGCCGACCCAAAGTCGTGAGGTGACGTGTGGCCCCTGCTGTGGTGGGAGGGGAGGGGTGGGGGGTCCTCAGCCCCCCTGCCTCGGGGAGCCCTTTACCCGCTCTGGGGTGTTGAGGGGTCCTTCTCCCTCSTCGGGGAGCCCCCCGAACTGACCGGGGCTCCCCCCGCTTCCCCCCCGCTCCCGCCTGGCCTGGACTCAGTTTGCACAAGTAAGCGCGGCCCTGCTTTGGGGTGCATGGGGGGCACTGCTGCATGTGCATGGGGGTCCCAGCGCTGTCCCCTCGGGGGTCCCCCCGCCGTGCTGGGGGTTCTGGGGTGTCCTGCGCTGCCCCCTCCCTCCCCCCGCTCTGCCTTGCCCTCTGCATCCTCTGCCTGCTGCCCGTGCTGCCCACCCGGCCTTGGGACCCCGGGGACCCCTCACCCAGGACCCCCGGGCTGGGTCTCTCTGCCTTGGGGACACTGCCTGGGCAGGAGGTGGGGGGTGTGCTGAGCCCCCTCCCCACTGCCAGCATTGCATGGGGCAGCTGCTGGACTGGGGCAGCTCGTGCCCCCCAGACCCTCCAGGGCACCCCCAGACCCTCCGGGGCCCCTGGGGTCCCCCTGAGTGTTGGGGTCCAGTGGGGGAGAGCCCCCGGTTCTGCTCACACCCCCCCAAGGGGAGAGCTGACCTGGGGGTGGGGGAGTTACGGGGTGACCCCAAAACTCGGGCCATATCCTGCTGCCCCCATCCCCGGCTGCCCCAGCTTTGTGCCACTGCCCCTCGTCCCTCAGGGGGACCCAGCCCTCGGGGGTCCCCAGCCCTCGGGGGTCCCCATCCCTCGGGGTTCCCTGTCCCGCGGGGGTCCCCAGCCCTCGGGGGGGCGGCGGGCGCGGGCCGGACCTTCTAACGCGGATTTTGTCTCTCTCTCCCCTCTCTAACCTTGCTCTGACTTTCTCACCTCTGGGAAACGCCAGGAGCTGGTAAGCGCCCGTCTCCCGGCCGCTGTCACTGTCCTTCAGTCACTGTCACCCGCTGCCACCCACCGCAGCCCCCTAACACTGCCAGCGCTGCTCCCGCCGCTCTCACTCCCCGCAGCAAACCAGGGCTCCCTGGAACGGCCAGGGGCTGCAGGGGCGTCCTTGGGGTCCCCTCGATGAGCTGGGGACCCCCTCGATGGCAGCAGGGGGCCAGGGGAGCCCGGACACGCCRGCTGTGCCCACCCTGCCTGGCACAGGGCACGGCCCCTTGGTCTGGAGGGGCTGGGGGCTCCCACTGCCCCCCTGGGTGAATCACCCCAAAAGGCAGCCAGGGGACAGTGACAGCCCCAGGGGCCAGGGGGTGCCCTGGGGAGGAGGGTGTCGTGCCAAAACGCAGCCGGGGGACAGTGACAGTCCCACAGGAGCGGGGGTCACCCTGGAGGGACCAGCGATGGGTCCTGGTCCCAGCCAGGGGCTGCTGGAACGTTCCCCAGCTCGGGGTAGGCAGAACCTTGGGGGTCCCTGAGCGGGGCCAGGCCAGGCTGGGGGTCCCACATCCTGACACAGCCCTTGGGCTGGGCCGGGCTGGACTGGGGTCCAGTGTCACCAAACCAGGGGYCTGATGTCCCCACTCTGGACCCTTGAGGGTACCTCCCCACTGGGCCAGGCCAGTCTGGGGTCCAATGTCCCCAGCCTGGAGCCTTGGGGACATGCCACATGCCACATGGCTGCCTGCAGAGCCTTGGCTGGGTGCTGTACTGGGGGTCTGTGCCCGTGTCCTGGGGAGGATCGGGCCACCACCCCCCGTCCCTGCCCACGCTGTGTGCTGGGGGTGACAGTCTGGGGACCCCCCTGTTCCTGTCCATGCTGAGGGGTGGTGGCAGTCTGGGGACCTGCCGTGTCCCTGTYGCTGTCCCTGTCCAYRCTGGGAGGTGGAGGCAGTCTGGGAACCCCTCCCYGTYCCTGTCACTGTCCCTGTCCCTGAGGTGGCTCTGTGTGCAGGAGGAGCTGAGCAGCACCAGCGTGGAGCACCTCATCATCAACCCCAACGCTGCCTACGAGAAGTTCCGGGACAAGCGCCTGGGCACCGAGGGTGTGGGTGAGCTGGGGGGTCCGAGGGGGGCTSGGGATGGGGCAGGGGACCCCCGGGGGGCTGAGTCCCCCCCAATCTTTTCTGGGTCACACCCGGCTCTGCCTCTTCCAGATTTCTCTGACCGCATCGGCAGGACACGGACGACAGGTTATGAGGCTGGAGAGTATGAGATGGTGAGTGGGAAAGGGGCACCACCTGCCCCACACACAGCGCTTGGGACAGCCCTGTGTGCCACCCATGGGACCCCCAGTGTCACCTGCTGCAGCCCCCGGCCGTTCATGACAAGGAGCCATGGCCAGCTCCACCAGCACCGTGGCAGCGCAGTGCTGGTCACTCCCCRGTCCATCCCAGTCTCTGCTGGGAGCCCTGTCCTGACCATGGAGCCCTGAGGGTGCTCAGGACAGCACTGGTTACTGAGTCCTGGGATGGAGCTGGAGATGGAGGTGGGGGTCCCAGGGTGGAGCTGGGGGTCACAGGATGGAGCTGGGGGTTCCAGGGTGGAGCTGGGGGTCACAGGATGGAGCTGGGGGTTCCAGGATGGAGCTGAGGGTCCCTGGATGGAGTTGGGGGTGGAGCTGGGAGTCACAGCATAGAGCTTGGCGTCACAGGATGGAGCTGGAGGTCCCAGGATGGAGCTGAGGGTCCCTGGATGGAGTTGGGGGTGGAGCTTGGCGTCACAGGGTAGAGCTGGGGGTCACAGGATAGAGCTGAGCTGGAGCTGGAGGTCCCAGGATGGAGCTGGGGGTCCCAGGGTGGATCTGCGGCTGAAGCTGGGGGTCCCAGGGTGGATCTGGGGCTGGAGCTGGGGGTCCCAGGATGATCTTGGCTGGCTTGTGGTCAGTTGGGTGTCCCCCAGGACCCCCGGGCCTTTCCTGACCCCCTCATGACTCGCCTGACCCTTCCATGGCTCCCCAGGCCCCCTGTGAGCTCCCCATGAGACCCCTGAGCCCCTGTGAGCCCCCTGACCCATTTCTCCACAGCTGGGTGAGGGTCTGGGTGCCAAGGAGACGCCGCAGCAGCGATTCCAGCGGTTGCAGCACGAGGTGCAGGAGCTGCTCCGGGACGTGGAGCAGATCCAGGTGAGCTCCCACCTGCCCCAGGTGTGTCCCAGGTGTGTCCCAGGTATGTCCCAGGGTGACACGGCCCCTGTGTCCCCCCAGAGCTCGGTGAAGGAGTCGGGGGCGGAGGAGGAGCTGACGCCCATGGCGCTGGCCAGGCAGGTGGAGGTGCTGAAGCAGCAGCTGCTCAGCTCCCACCTGGAGAAGGTGCTGGGCCCCGGCGCCGCCGTGGACTTCGCTGACCCCGAGGGTGCCCTGGCCAAGTGAGTGGGGGGCAGGACCTGGCGGGGCGTGGCAGTGTCCCCGTGGGGCTGGGACAGGGACCCTGCCCACCTTGTCCCCTGTGCCCACCCTGTCTCTGTGTCTCCTTTACCCTGTGCCCACCCTCTCCCTGTACCCATCCTGTCCCTGTGCCCACCCTGTCCCCGAGCCCACCTTGTCCCCTGTACACCATCCCTGTGCCCACCCTGTCCCCAAGCCCACCTTGTCCCCTGTACACTGTCCCTGTGCCCACCCTGTTCCTGTACCCATCCTGTCCCTGTGCCCACCCTGTCCCCGAGCCCACCTTGTCCCCTGTACACTGTCCCTGTGCCCACCTTGTCCCTGTACCCATCCTGTCCCTGTGCCCACCCTGTCCCTGAGCCCACCTTGTCCCCTGTACACTGTCCCTGTGCCCACCCTGTCCCTGTGTCTCCTTTACCCTGTGCTCACCCTGTCCCTTTGCCCCCGTGCCCGCGTTGTCCTCACGCCCACCGTGTCCCTGTACCCACCCTGTCCCTGTGCCCATGGTGCCCCTGTGCCCACCCTGCCCCTTTGCCCCCATGCCCACCCTGTCCCCTCCCGCTATCCTCGTGCCCACCCTGTCCCTTTGCCCCCAGCCCACCCTGTCCCCGTGCCCACCCTGTCCCTTTGCCCCCATGCCCACCCTGTCCCCGTGCCCACCCTGTCCCTTTGTCCCCATGCCCACCCTATCCCCGTGCCCACCCTGTCCCTTTGTCCCCATGCCCACCCTATCCCCGTGCCCACCCTGTCCCTTTGCCCCCATGCCCACCCTGTCCCCTCCCGCTATCCTCGTGCCCACCCTGTCCCTTTGCCCCCATGCCCACCCTGTCCCCGTGCCTGCCCTGTCCCCATGCCCACGCTGTCCCCTCCCCGCTGTCCCCAGGCGGCTCCTGCAGCAGCTGGAGGTGGCCAAGTGCAGCAAAGGGACCCCGGGGAAGGGCCCTGCCCGAGCYTCAGCCCCAGCCCCGGCCGGCGACGCCGTCACCTTCGAGCTCTACTGGAGGCCAGAGCAGGACCAGTTTGCCCAGTCTGCCAAGGTGAGTGGGGGTCTGCTGGCCCCACTGGGCAGTCCTGGGAGGGGCCCCAGTGTGGGGGTCCTGCTGGCTCACCCCAAACCCCGCAGGTGTCGGAGCTGGAGAAGCGTCTGGCGCAGTTGGAGGCGGCCTTGAGGTGTGAGCCCGACAGCCAGGTGAGCACCCAGGTGAGGGGAACATCCTCCTGCCCCCCATCCTTTACCTGCCCCACTGACACCGTGTTTCCCCACAGAACCCTCTGCTGGTGGGGCTGAAGGGCTCCAGCCTCATGGTGAGTCGGGCAAGRGGGGTTGGGGGGACCCCTGTCACCCCTCCCTCACCCCCAGCGTTTTGGGGGGGCTGCCACACCCCCCTCACCTGCTCCCCCTCCCCCAGGACACGGTGCAGGTGCTGCAGGCCAAGGTGAACGTTCTGGACATGGCTGTGCTGGACCAGGTGGAGGCTCGGCTGCAGGTGAGGGGGGCTGGGGAGCACTACTGGCTTGGGGGGCGCTGCTGGAATTGGGGGGCACTGCTGGATTTGAGGGGTCACCTCACCACTGGATTCGGGGTCTCTCTCCCCCCACCCCAGAGCGTCCTGGGCAAGGTGAACGAGATCGCCAAGCACAAGAGCACCGTGCAGGACGCCGACACCCAGAGCAAGGTGAGGGCTACGGGGCCCAGAGGCTGCAGGGGGATCTGARGAGMCCCCCCCGGGCTGGGCTGAKCCCCCCAGGCCMCRCTGACCCCCCCGGTTGCCCCCCCAGATCCACCAACTGTACGAGACGCTGCAGGGCTGGGACGCTGTGGCCAGCGCCCTGCCGGACGTGGTGGAGCGCCTGGTGACCCTGCGTGATCTGCACGAGCAAGGTGAGGCCCGGGGGGGCTGGGGGACACCCCGGGGTGTCACTGCTGTCCCCAGCGCTCAGGTGTGACCCCCGTGCTCCCTGCAGCCACCCAGTTCGGGCAGGTGCTGGTGCACCTGGACACGACGCAGCAGGAGATCGCGGGGGC